AGGAAACCAAGAAAAAAATCACCCCGTAGCGCCATTAACACCCCCCCCCAGCTCTTCTCTTTACCGTCTCTCTCTCGCATACACACATACAGAAAACGGAAAGAAAAAGAATAGGAAACAAAGAAAAAATTCACTTTGAGCAGTGTGCCATTAACACCCCTCCCCCCCGACTTCTCCTTACCTTCCCCCATTCCAACCCCCTGGACCTCTCCTTACCCCCCCCCCCCCCCCCCCCCCCCCCCCCCACCCCCCCCCCCCCCCCCCCCCCCCCCCCCACCAAGTTACTGATTAAAACGATTGCCATTCTGGAAAAGAAGGGGGGAAAAAAAGATTTATCCCCCCCTCTCTGGAATGTAAGGGGAATTAATCAACCAAACAAAGCAGGTTTCTGCCTAGGGAATTGGGATGTGGAAGCGTGCAACAACCTGCAAGGGAGGAGACTCAGGAGGAGCTTGGAGATGGTGACGTGACAAAGGGGGGGAACTTGGAGGAATGGCAGGGACAGAGGAGTTGGAGATGGGAAAGCTTATCAGGGTTCAGTGGAGCAGCGACAATGAAGCTGCCACAGAAGGCGTGAGGCAGCGGACGAGATTTTTTGAACGAGTTTACTCATTCAAAAGTCTTATTCTGGAAGGCAAACTGCCCACCCTATGGGCCTGGGTATTGTGCAAAGTCGCCCACCCGGTATGAACAGGGTGCAACCCCAGGCCCCAAGGATTGCAAATTTGCGCGTGGGCCTGACAGGGACAAAACACGAAGAACAAGGCCCAAAAGGGCATTCCGGTCTACCCACATCTTTTAGGAGCACTTTGGCATATATCTAAAATTCAAGTTACAGAGGTATTTCACAAATTATCCTTTTTTTTAGTTAGTCCGAGTCACTGTCACCTGGCGAGGTACTTCAAATAGTGATGGGGAGCTTACCTTACACAGTGGGGGCATACTCGCGGAAAGAAAACCTTTTCTAATGAATCTAAAAGCTTTTATGGGTACTAGATGACATGTTGCGGCTTCGCTCACAAAAACAAATACGACTGGTGATGCATTAATGGTGGAGGCAACCGACCGATTTACTCTCTCTCTCTCTCTGTCTCTCCCCCTCTCTCTCGTACACACATACACAAACACACTAAAAAAATTGAAAGAAAAGAACAGGAAACAA